TTCCCCCCTTCTCTTCTCTCTCTCCACCCCCTCTCTCACCCTCTCTTTCTCCTCCTCTCTCTCCTCCTCGTCTCTCTTTCTCTCTCGTGCAGTGCACTACAGCAGCGTGCCTACCTAATGTGCTCTGCCTGTCTTCGTTGTATGTGTGAGTAATTTATCGAAGTAGATTTTACCGGCTAACCCCTCGCTGACCCACGTGTGCGCGCTCGCGCCCCCCCCACACAACACACCACGCCACAGGCTCGGTCGAGTGCGAGCTGTGTGGTAGCTCTAAGTATCTTAGAGCCTCGTGTACAGTTGCCGCAGCCTGCGTACTAGAGCTCGTGTGCTGTTGCTGTAGCATTATGATAATTCCACTAATACAGAGAACCTTCCCTCTGCTGGGCGTTGGTGCCTGCCAGGCAGAATACATGCATCTAGCGCCCATACACAGAGCCTCTCTAGTCGCTGGCTTTCCCTGCTTCTAGGCTCGAAAGAGGGAAAACTTATTCTGTTAACCACGTAGGCGACAAGGCTGTCTCCTTTCTCTAGCCTAAAATAAGCAGAACTATACATTTTGGATATAAACCATTCGTATTGGCTTTCGTTTTCGGGGGACCTTTCCCGCGCTTGTCTCGACGCTTATACGGGGATTTCTCTAGTCAAAAATAGCATTTAGTTACAGAAGAACCCCCCATAGAAGCCCGTGTCTACCTTTTCTCGCAGCCCAAAAGCAGGGAAGCATATGGGGAAGTAGATATATGCGGAACCATAGAAGCCTGTCTTCCTTCTCTAGGCGTCTGATCATGAACCGCCAGCTATAGCTTCTTCGCTAATTCTCACCATCTATGTTGGCATGCTCCTACGGCGCTGAAAATAGTGTAGAGCCTGGTCTGACTAGAAGCATGTGGTCGATTCCCTTCCCCTCCCCGCCTCTCCCGCTTCCCTCCTCCCCTCTCCCCCTACTCGCTCCCCTCGCTTTCTCCGCCTCTCCCCTACTCTCTTGCCTCTTCCCGCCTACTCCTTTCCCCTCTCCCTTCCTCGCCCTCCCCTCTCCTCTTCCTCCGGCCCCTCCCCTTGTCTTCCCCCTCCCCTCTCCCCCAATCTCCCCTCTCCTCCTCCCCTCTCCTGCCCTCTCCCTCCCCCTCTCACCCTTCCCCTAATCCCCTCCCTCCAGCAAGCTAGCTGAGCTCCTTCCCAGCGAGTGCTAGGCTGGCAAATCAGCCACGAGGTGCAGACATACCAGGCTTCCCCCGTGCCGCGGGATTGTGTGCCAATGACTCATAACTCACGGCTGTAAGTCACCCCCCCCCCCTACAGCATTACCTTGTTATACAACTCCTACACTGTGTGTGCGTGCGTGCGTGCGTTGCGTGCGCTAGTGCGTGTTTGCGTTGTGCGTGTGCGTAGTGCGTGTGCGTGTGCGTGTGCGTGGTGCGTTCGTGCGCCATGTGGCGTGTGGCGTGGTGCGTGTGCGTGCTGTGACCAGTGTGCGCTCCTCCTGTGCGTGCACAGTGGCTGTGTAGTGTGCGTGTGTGTGTGTTGTGGTTGTGACAGTGTGTGTGCTGCCCGCAGTGTGTGTCGTGTGTGTGTGGTGACAGATGTGTGCTGTGTGTGTGTGCTGTGTGTTGTGTGTGTGATGTGTTGTTGTGTGTGTGTGTTGTGTGTGACGTGTGTGGCCCCGGCCCGATGTGTGTGTGTGTGCGTGCCTGCGTGCGTGCCGTTGCGTGCCGTCGCGTCGCGTGCTGCGTGCCGTGCGTGCGTGCGTGCGTGCAGTGCTGGTGGCGTGCGTGCGTGCGTGCGTGCGTGCGTGCGATGCGCTGCGCTGCGATGCCTGTGCGTGAGCCCGTGCAGTCGGATAGCGTGCGTGCGTGCGTGGCCGCTGCGGTGGCGTGCGTGCGTGGTGCGTGCGTGCCGTGCGTGCGTGGCGTGCGTCGCGTGCTGTGGTTGCGTTGCGTCGCCGTGCGTGCCGTCGCGTGCGGCGTGCGGCTAAGCCGGGCCGTGCGTGCGCCGGTGCCGTACGGTGCCCGTGCGGTGCGCTTGCGTGCGTGGCGTGCGTGCGTGCGTGCGTGCGTGCGTTGGTGCGTGGTCGCCGTAAGCGTCGCGTGCGTGCTGTTGCGTCGCGTATGCGTCGGCCGTGCGTAGCTGTGATTACAGTGCTGCGTGCGTGGCGTGCCGTTGCGTTGCCGTGCCGGGTTGCGTGCCCGTGCGTGCTGTCTGTGCCCGGTCGCGTCCTGCTGGCGTTGCGTTCGCGTGCGTGCCCACCGTAGCGTAGCGTGCGTGCGTGCGTTGCGTGCGTCGCATGTAGCGCTGCGCTGCAGTGCGTCCGGTGGTGCCGTGCGTGCGTGCCGTTTGCTGTCGCGTGCGTCGGTGCGTTGCGCGTGCGATGCAGTAGCAGTTGCGTTGCGTTGCGTGCGTGCAGTGCGTGCGTGCGGTGCGTGCCGTGCCCGTGCGTGCGTGCGTGCGTAGCGTGCGTGTGTGCTGAACATGTGTGCTGTGTGTGTGTGTAGTGTGTGTGTGTGATGTGTGGTGTGTGTGTGTGCGTGTGTGTGACAGTGTGTGACAGTGTGTGTGTGACAGTGTGCTAGTGTGTGTGCGTGCGTGCCGCGGCTGCGCGTGGCGTGTTTGAGTGCGCGCTACGTGCACGGCGTGTTTGTGCTGTGCACTGCGCAGTTGGTTGATATACAGTGCGTACGATGGCCCCGCTATACTCGAAAGCGAGGGTGATCACTCACGCTCGGCGTAATTAGCAAATTGCTCTGGAAAACGACAGGCGACTGCTTCTGTCTGTCTCGAGTGCAAACAACTCTCCTAGCCCTCCTCCATCACTCAACGTGTTTCTTGTTTCGTGGAAATTTCGGCTCAAGTTAAGCCTTAATAACAAAGATGGATGAAGGGATAGTCACATTTCAATTTCGTCGTGCCGACGTGGCGTCTATATAGTGGTGAAGGAATTATGGGGGCAGAAGTAGGTAGAGGGGTAGAAAGAGCACGGATCCAATTGCAATACTAGCCAGTTTTTACGTCGACATAAGTGGCAAGCCGCCAAACACACCCACGCACGCACACGCGCCACACACGCACCAGCACACGCACACACGCACCCGCGCACACGCGTACACGCACACGCACACGCGCACACACACATACACACGCACACGCACACACACACGCACACACACACGCACACGCACACGCACACACGCACACACGCACGCACGCACACACGCACACACACACGCACACACGCACACACACACGCACACGCACACACCCGCGTACACGCACACACACATGATGATATACGTTTAGTAATCGATGACGAGAGAGCAACGCAATCGACCTCGCGCGCGTGCGTCACGACATCAAAGCAAATATTTACGCACGAGTATTGAGAATGTCAACGAACGAATTAACAGTGATGTTCTTATTCACTCCCGATATTACGCTTATAATATCTATGTATATATCTTACCAGGAGTTAATATTTGGACAGGAATTGACAATTGATAATAATTTCATACAGGAAATGACAAATTTGTCATTATCAACTCCTGATATTACGTATATATTATCAAGAGCTATTAATTAATACCTACGAGCTAATAAGACGTATAATAAGAGGTATTAATAGCTCTTAATATTATGTGTATTTATAGTGTAATATCAGGGGTTAAGGATGACAAATTTGTCAATAATTACAAATTTGTCATTATTAACCCCTGGTAATATGTATATTTTGTCATTCCTCGTGTGATACATGTATTCAAGAGCGTATTAAGAAGGGTTATATCATATATGTGGGGTTATGTGTATATATTATATCATGTTGTATCTTGTGTGTGCTTACAGACTGCTCACCAGTGGGTCCATCGTTGACAACGGCATTATGAGCGGATCTCGCATTACTGCCGTGCCAAACGTCGAGTCGGGCCTCGTCGTAAGTATACGCGCGCGCAAGCACGCACGCACGCACGCACGCACGCATGGGCGCACGCACACAGGTACACACTAACGCAGATGCACATATTTACCCACAGATGCATGCACGCACGCACGCACGGGCTCACACAGCCACGCACACACGCGTCCGCAAGTTCTGTATCTACATTTCTCTGGGGTGACAACTGTCCCCCTCGCCTTCCCTCCCTCCCCTCCCTTCCCCGCCCCCCGCCTGCTAGCTATACGCCCTTAAACGTAGAGGAACTGGTGGCCTTTCGAAATGACCCGGGATGACGCAATCATTGCGCAACCTACGTACGTACGCAGCATGACGTGACGTAGATACACCCTTACGTGCGTCAGTGTGTGTATATATATTAAGTATTAGGTATATATATTTTATTAGGTAGTTAATTACTATTACCTGTCTAAGGCTGTCTTGATATAAAGATATTAATATTTACTACCGATGTAGCCCCTTCACTCCCGCCACGGGGTAGAGAGAAAGTATTGTAGCGGGAGCGAAGGGGCTACACCAGTGAAGCTAGTGCGCTGCCTGATGGATGGATATATATAATAACATAGATGTTTTCGTTTCCATGCAGAGCCAGAAAGCGGAACTATGCAATGTGATGAAAGCCGTAGAAAATCTCTCAGACACACAGGTACTTGTCGCTTCGAAGCTGATAGAAAGCAGATACTGTCTGCCGTGTTTGCATAAACAGCACTTCAGTGCGTGCGGAGAAGAGCGAACTGTCACAAGTTGTCCTCGTGGACAGACGTGCGTTTCGTGACAGTGATTTCACTGTATATAACGGCCACATTGTATTCGTGTGGAACAGAAGAAGTGCCCTTTATAGACAGGTTTGCATTTAGAGGTGCTCTCTGACACCAGTTTGGCTCTAGATTTTGCGGTTATAAATATCCGAAAATGGTTTTTGTGCCAAGAAACCAGATACGGTTTTCAATATTAAAAAATGGCTGAACATGGCTGAACACGTTAATGTCTCTACTAATGATCATTCCTCTTGCAATTGGTATATGTTCGATTTCGTAATAATGTCAACAGTACAGTATAGTATAGTTTCTATGTTGCGATATTAAACTTTCGCTCGCATCATTTGCATCCTTACAATAGTTTTATTTTATGATGACTGCGTGATGGATTTTGCGGAATAAATTTACGAGGATTTTGTCGCGAAATAAACGAATGTTTCTTTCGTTCCCGTTTTTAAACTGAACATCTTTTATTAATGCTTCTTTCCTGTTCCAGGTGGATGATTTCCTCTCCGGGAAAGCTCCCCTCACCTTATCCTGGCGCTACGACGATTACCTGATGTTCGTGCAGCTCCACCTGTCGTCGTCGCCACCTGGTGGCAGGAAGAAGAAACTATGTCCATCGTCTTTGCTCTCCTCGTTGCGAAAGCGAGCGTCTAACTGCTCCTCTTCAGAATCTTCGTCGTCCTCGTCATCTTCTTCTTCTTCCTCTTCTGCTTCCGATGGCCATTCCTCCTTGCGTTTCTCCCCATCGTCGTCGTCGTCGTCGATTCCGTTGCCGGCATCGCTTCCGAAACTCGTCGCGGAACGGTCATCGTCGCCTCCGCCCGGCAAGCGCCGCCGCCTCCTGCCGCCCTGCGCGCCGGCGCCCTCTGTAGGCGTGTGCGTGTCGACGCAGACGACAGTGGCCGACGGAGGAGGAGGAGGAGGAGGAGGAGAGAAGGAAGAGGAGCTGGCGACGGAGAAGCCGTTGCTCGATGTCGAGGCGTTGGAGGTGGCGAGTCGTAATCTGACGCGACAGCTGAAGCAGATGGCGCAGTCGGGCCAGCGGCCGTCCGCGGTGAGTGTCCTTCCCCCCCCCCCACGGTGGCTCTGACTCTGTTTGTCTCTGTCACTCTGTCTGTCTCTGTCTCTCTATCTATCTATCTCTGTCTATCTCTATCTCTCTCTCGCTCTCTGTTTGTCTCTCTCTATCTCTCTCTCGCTCTCTGTTTCTCTCTCTCTCTCTCTCCCTTTCCCTCTCACCCGTCTCTTTCTCGCGCTCTCTATCTCTCTCTCTCGCTCTCTGTTTCTCTCTCTCTCTCTCTCTCTCTCTCTCTCTCTCCTCTCTCTGTCTGTCTCTGACTCGCTCGGTCTCTCTCTCTCTTTCCCCTCTCTCTCGCCCCGATCTCTCCCACGCTCTAGCGCATTGTGGTCATTGTGTTGCAACTTGACTGCCATATTGGTCGACCCAAAAGTCTAATTATGAACACGGAGCGACAATGAGAAGGTTGGGCAACTTTCCAACGCAGGTCATTATATTAAACGTGGTTAAAACAGATTGCTAGCTGACCAATATGGCCGGCTCCTCTGTTAGAATCACTGTAATAGGACAAAGCTTCGTCCAGTCATTACGTGTAGACCAGTGAATAGGCCCCCTATAACCTGCCATGCATTCCTAACAAGTGGCAGCATGGCAAACGCTAAGCGATCGCTGGGAAGCGGTGTGTAGGTGCCGAGGTCTCAGCGTAGTTCGTTTTTCTGCCACCAGGCTTCCGAGTCGACGTTCGTGTCGGCGCAGACGCCCACCTGTGCGATGCTGGACAGTCTCGCTAGTCATGGCAAGGGCATCTACTCAGGAACGTTCTCAGGTTCGTGCGCGTGCGTGCGTACGTACGTACGTGCGTGCATGGTATATATGATTATGTGTGCATGCGTGTGTGTAATATACTATGCTGCTGCGTGCGTGCGTGCGCGGCCGGCCTGTGTGTTATCATATGTGTGTGTGTGTGCATCTGCCGCTGGTGTATATACTACTTGGTCGTGTCGCTGTTTTGTGTGCGTGCGTGTCGTGTATATAATATGTGTGTGTCCGCGTGTGGGTGCCGTCGTGTGTGTATATATGTGTGTGTCGTGTGTTGCGTGCGTGCCGTGGTGCGTGGCCGTGCGGTGGCGTGCGTCGCGTGGTGCTTCGTATACTATTTATACCCTCATATATACCGCTATATATGTGTGTGTGCTTGTGTGCACGGTCGCGTGCGTGTGTATATATAATGTGTGTGCGTGCGTGGCGTGGGCGTGTATATAAATGTGTGTGCATGCGTGCGTGCGTGTGGTCCGTGGCGTGCGTGCGTGGCGTGCGTGCGTGCGGCGTGGCGTGTTTATTAGAATGTGTGTGTGCGTGCATGGTGGTGTGCTGAATGTGTGGTCGCGTGCATGGCATGACGTGCATGCGTGTGATGTGTGCGCGCGTGCGTACGTGTGATGCTGCTGGCGCGGCTGCATGCGTGTGATCTGCTGCGCGCGTGGTACGTGTGATCCTGTGCGCGCGTTGCATGCGTGTGCTCCTGTGGCGCGCGTGCCCTACGTGTGATCTGTGCGCGCGTGGCGTACGTTCGTATATAAAAATCTCAACTACTAACTATAATCTGCGAATTCGCGTTCGTCCGTGAGCAGGAAGCCTCACCCGACGCCTGACACAGACCGCTGCGGAGCCGCACCGCAGAAAGGTCTTTCCACCGTCATGCCACTCCTCAACGACTTTCTCGGAGCCGCAGAAGCAGGAGCGCGACGCAAAGGTCAAAGGTCAGCAGCCGACGCCGTCGACGTCCGCCGCGACGGTGGCGCCTCCTCAGAAGAGTTTGCGGAAGCGGACGCCGGTCAGCCGGACGTGCAGAGGTAGGCGCGTGTGCGGGAATGCTGTCGCACCTGCGTATAAGGGTCGTGATTGCAGAAAGCGTCCATTGTAGACGGTGGTCAGTTCTATAGAGAAAACCAGGTTTACTGGAAAGTTTGCTGTGTGTGTGTGTAATCTGTGCATGTGTGCGGTGCGTGGAACGTTCGTGGCGTGTGTGTGTGTGTGCACTGTGCATGTGTGCGTGTGCGTGCGTGCGTGCGTGTGTGTGTGTGTGCACTGTGCATGTGTGCGTGTGCGTGCGTGCGTTTGTGTATATGTAATGTAATAAATAATAAGATCTTCAGCGACACGCACTTCAGTTTATCCCATCCGTCGCTCGAGGGAAAAAGTCAAACTAAAAAAAAACACTTGCAATTTTTTTGGCAGAACGAAATAGAGGGCGCCAGGAGGACGCGATCGCCGAGGAAAATGCGCAGACGCGCAGCAAGGTGGAGCAACTGAAGCAGCGTCTCGAGGAGCTGAGACTGAAGCGACACCAGAAGAAGGACGTGGCGCCATCTACGTGCAGCGTGGTCGGAACGACCTCTGTGCGACCCCGGAGCGTGTCGGACGCGACAAGCTACGCGGTGCAGCGAAAGGTCGTGCAGTGAGCGTCGCTGCCGCAGAAATGAAAGATCGAGTGGTCTGGAGGTTCGTCACCGAAGGACACAGAATCGTATCCGCGTTGCGCGATATAAAACGATATAAACTCGATGCAAATCATTGGATGAATACGGAATCCACGTTTGCGCGCGCGGAACAAAATCTAGAGAATGTAATTCAACCCGCTTTTTCGTTGGATGCAAAGGAACCGTGTATTTATAGCCACGGTCAGCCGAATAAGAAAGAAAAATGGGAGAGATGTAGAAAAGGAGCAGTTCTCAAAGTAATGTGCATTGTTGTGTGTTGTATTAAAATTATCGACGAAGCTTTGTCGTGAGTCAGTAAACTCATTTATAGAAAAATCATGGAGAAAGTAGGTGAATGTTTGTTAGCCTCTCCCGACGTATAGCTACACACATTTTCATGCTTTGTAGCCCTCATATTCATTCGTAGAAGCTCCCCTGGTACAGTAAAATGCATTTTGGAATGCGAGAAACAAGTGTTTGATTATACTCGCATTGTTTTTCGTGTGATATTATGCAAGTATATATATCTCTATATATATATATATATATATATATATATATATATATATATATATATATATATATCTCTATATATATATATATATATATTATATATATATCTGCACCGGCATGGTGGTGCATTTTGGTCTCATTTTATTATCATAATGCGAATGTATATTAAATACTAAACTGATTTTCTGGAACTTGAAGGACCCTAATGGCCACGATACCTCAATGTATTTAGAGCTGTGTGTATGCTAATTTAGACGATAAAAGGAGACAACGTGTAAAGTTGTGCAGATTGGGAGTAGATATATATATATATAAAAGATGTCGTATTTGAATTATTCAGTGAGTGCATGTCATTCATTTATTTGCATATGCACTCGGAGCTATAATTCCGATGATGTTGCATTGCATATGTGCTCGCACTGCATATGTGCTCGCACTGCGTTTGTGCATACATTGCTCTCTGGCATATTACAAGAAACATTTATTCTTATGATATGCATGTACAGAGCCATGCACATTTATTCATTGCACCCACATATTGTTGGATCTGAGTGGATGTGCATTTATTATACAAGTAAAAAAATTGTTATAAAAAAATGTGATGCACTGTATACACATAAGGTCTTTCCGTGAATAGATAATTGTTCGTAAATTTATATTATATCTTACTGTTTTCTTATGCATAACAGAAATCGGCCCGAACACGTACTGCTAGCACAATTTTGAATGACAAAAGCGGTAAAGTGATATAAGAAATATTGCATATTTACAGCTCAATTCACGTGAACTAATGTCTGAAGTTTAAAATATTATTTATGACCCAGAAATATTTCACTACACCAAATATGTTTTATACATAGATATCATATAACAACGTTGTTATATGATATGATATCTATGGTTTTATATGACCAATAATGATTATATCCGCCACTAGGTGGCAGTAAAGTAAAACATGGTTTCTCCCATCATAAGACATAAATCAAGCATCAAACAGTTTATACAGGAAAATGTTAATTTGACATATATCCGTTCACGTGTACAGCTATTGTACTGATACAGCATCAATATGTCAGACGATGGCAAGTATTTCTAGTAATTCCACTTCTTTGACGTATTTTTGCTCACTTGGTGTCGACATAAATGATCGTAGGGCCCTACTCGAATATGCAATGTAAACATTGATTCAGAATTGACATTGATTTACATCTCTTTAATTTTCTTGATGATAATAATAATAATAATAATATTAATTATGCTGCTTACTCTACCTTGTTCACAGTTTTACGTTTATTACACATGTATCATACATACAATGTCAATGTGACAATGATACATCATGATCATACATAGATACAATAATGTAACCCAAACCCAAGAGGATAGGTCCTCTATATCCTCTAGGTCCTCTATCCTCTCTCCTATAGGTCCTCTATCCTCTCTCCCTAGGTCCTCTAGGTCATCTATCCTCTATATCCTCTATATCCTCTAGGTCCTCTATAGGTCCTCCTATCCTCTTGGGTTTGGGTTACATTATTGTATCTAGATCATACATAGCTCTAGTACTATAGCCGCTTACATTAACTGCCGCTGGCAGCGGCTGCTGGCAGCGGCAGCGGCAGCTGGCCAGCGGCAGTTAATGTAAGCGGCTATAGTACTAGAGCTAGATCATACATGGCTATTTGGGTTCAAGGATAGAGAACATGGGTCCCAATAAAACCAATGTCATTTACATCAATATAAATATAATATTATTATTATACCAATATAATAGGTTAGGGTTATGGTTAGGGTCATGGTTAAGGTTAGGGTTAGGGACATTGGTTTTATTGGGACCCATGTTCTCTATCCTTGGGCCGTAATTTGTATGCTGATGTACAATATATTATTATAATAATTAATAGGGTGCACAATTAAATCGGATTTATACTCATGCATGTGAACAATCCTAGTTTGGGACCCCGGCTCTCATTTTGGACTTCGTGTACTCAAAATGCTGAAACTTTACTGCGAGACGATTGCATATTGCATTATTTATCACCCACCTGTATCCAATTTACTCTAGAAACGCACCCCCACCCATTCGCTTGCGTCAGTCTATACAAAAACCGTGCGTGATTGCTCGAATCCCCCAAGCCTAGTTTAGCACCCCGCATTAGTTTAGCACATACGCGAACTTCTGGGTTCCAAACCATCCTTGCTCCATTCGAATCGCGAATGTCGTTTCTCCAATCATCACCTTCTCGTTTCCCGCAGAGTATCGCAATCCGTCGCCGCCGTCAGAGCTGGTGGAGCACAAGGATTACACCGCAGACATGATCGGCGATACGGTGTTCAGCAAACACTGGCTCTTCACGGCTCTAATGAAACTCATCCAGGTTAGCAATACACAACAATCATCTAGCGGGGTGTGTAACCGGTCATGCAGAGTTTCCGTTCACGGCAAGCACTCATAGCTTCTGTTAAGGACAGCGGTGAAAACGGACACTGCTATGGGCTAGACGTCCTTATACAGTTTAGAAACTACACAGACTAGCGGGTGTGTCACCCACCGATCAGAGTTTCCTTTCATGGCATGCACTACTGTGGGCTAGACGTCGTTATACATGTTTGAAACTACACAGTTATTAGAGTAGCGTGTGTGTCACCGATCATAGCTACTGTTAATGACAGGCACTGCTATGGGCTAGACTTGCTTATCCAGGTTAGAAACTACACAGCTATAAAAGTGGAGGTGTCTGCGATCATAGCTTCCTTTCACGGCATGGACTGCTGAGAAGGTTGTTTTACGCGATTGGAATAAGGAACGATTTGTTTTCTCGCAGGCCGTCGACAAGGAAGAGACGTCCAAGGAGGCCGGCGAGGAAGGACGTGACGTTGTCGTTGTTGACATTGACGATGACCTGCAGAATGAGCTGTGCAAGCTGTGGGACATGTCCATGAACAAGGTAGACACTGCATGTAGTCTGATATGCCTCTCATCCCGTATAGATATGTGGAGGAAATCCTTTCGTAGTAAACCATTGTGTAGTCCGATACACCCTACTTCCCGTATAGATGTAGGGAGAAATCCTTTTGTAGTGAACCACTGTATAAGTAGAGCATTATCACTTCCAGTATAGATTTCTGCAAAATCTTTTCTGAACTAAACCACTGTTTATATAACCCTGTTTAATTTATTACAGAAAAGATTTTGCATAAATCCTCACTTGTAGTATACATGTTTGTGAATTCTTAAAAAAAAAACTAAACCACTGTTTATAGTCAAATAACCCTCACATCCAATATAGATGTCTGGGGAAATCTTTTTGCAGCACACTGTAGACCGAAGATCTAAACTGAAACAAGCATGAACAATTCAACAACGTCATTCACGAGCATATGGCTAACAAGCACATGCATACTTGCATTTACATTTACATAGTTACATTACATTTAAGTGTAAGATAGAGTGTGAGTGGGGCAAGAGAGAGAAACGATATATGGTTTTCGAAAACTAGCGAGAAAAAAAGTGAAATGTGTGATTTAAGTATGATAATTTAGTTGTTGTTTTGTTTGCAGGATGTTGCGATGTGTCTGATCGATTTCAAGGCAGTCGACATACTGGTGGGTGTGCTGACACGTACACGAGCTCCCAGGATTGCTGTAAGACTCATATTCAAAGCTACTGTCTCTATCTCTCTATCTCTCTCTCTCTCTCTCTCTCTCTATCTCTCTCTCTCTCTCTCTCTCTCTATCTCTCTCTCTCTCTCTCTTTCTCTCTGTCTC